CCCCCTGCCTTCCTCCCTCTGTCCTGTGAGAGCCCGGCTGGGGAGCCCCTGCACCCTCTCTGAGCCCTGGCTGGCCAGTGGGCGCAGACTCACTCTGGGCTACCTTTTGCACAGACGGTGCCAACTTGTGGCCAGAACCACCGGCAGCAGGAAGGTGGGTGCCTTCCTCTTGGTTTTGTTCCATGGACAGCACGCTTCCAACCACCCCTCCCGCAGCCTCCAACAAGAAACGCTTGTCTTCTCAAGTTATCTGTGTCTCCCTTTACGAGTGTGAAGTGCTCCGGCTAAAATTAGGCTACAGAAATCAGAGGAAAAGTGATGCAAGGGTCCCCATGGGGCCTGTTGGGTTATAGAGGAGGGGCTGTGATGGGGCTGGTCTGGCTTCCCCCCGGGGATCAGGTTTTGTTGAGAGGAGGAACGCAGCATTGAATGGCACGGAGAGGGAGTGAGGAACGGCAGCACAAACACGCCAGAAGTGCCGGCGGGAGAGCCTCCCTCATTTGGGCAAAGCAGACGCCTTCCATCTCCAGTCCCCAAGGTTGCAAAGCTCTCCAACGAAAACTCTGCAATTTCCTCAGCTCACAGCAGACGCGTCGGCCGGATAAAACTCATTATCGGGAAAGGCAGAACTGATTCCCTCAGCAAAACACTCCCGGCTCAGCGAAGGGCCAAGGACAGCGTGTGTCCTGCTGTGCCCTAGCAGCTGAGGCCTCTCGGGCTGCCTGGCCTGTCCTGTCAGGCTGCCGGACCTCTAATTGCCACCCCCAGCACCGAGACTGGGCAGCACAGTGGAGTGGCCATAGTGATGCTGGGCATGGTGGCAGAAACTTCTAGGAGCTCACCAGAGCTCTACTGACCTGGCAGGAGCAGAAATGAGGGGCGTAAAGGAGAAGGCTGCGGGCATCGTCAGGGCGAGGGAGAGTGAGTGCAGCCGGCACCCGCTTCTCTGGGAAGGGATTTGAGCCACCGCAGGGCAGGCTGCGTGGGGCCACCAGGTCTGGGGTTGGCATTTAGAGCTAAACTGAGTGATCAAACGGCTTGGCCTGGGGATCGAGACGTGGAACCAGTTCCAGCCTGTGCTCAGGGGCCGGTTGGGCTGGTGCCTGCCCCCCACCCCCGCGGAGGGCTGCCTGGGTGAAGTGATGGTGTCATTTATGGGAACTAGGAACCCAAGGGGGTCGTGTGCGCAGAATACAGCACTTGAACTCCAAGGGGACCAGGCAGCTCTGGGGTGGGAACTGCAGGGGCCACAGGCAGGCAGTGACTCAGGAGCCCCCACTGTGCCCTTTCAAGAGGGGCCCCCTCCACGAGCCGTAGTTCATTCCGTGTGAGACGGGATGAGAGAAGAAACGAGGCAGCCGCTCTGTCCTGGAGAGGCCGCAGAGACAGGTGAGGGCTCATCTGTGTAGCTCGTCTGAGAAGTCAGTCTTGTGCAGATGCGACATGGACAGGGAACGTGAAAGGCTGAAGCTGCGCGGGGCAGGGCACCTCAGAAAGCCCTCCTGGTGGGGCTGCGAGTGGGGTCAGAGTGTGTGCCAGCAGCCCTGGGCCTGTGAGTTTGGGGATCGTTAGGCTGTCTCTGGGGGAAGGGGCAACAGGCTTTTCCAAGGTCAAGGCCAGGCTGTTGGAGGGTTCCTGGGCATCAGAGCCCTCTCACCCCCCAAAAAGGCCACTGGGGTGTCCTCAGTGCCTCCAGAAGGGTCAGGGCCCTGCCCACCAGCAACTCTGACCTAAAGCCAGCCTCACAGAGCTGGCGTCCAGCTCCCAAAAGGCCAGGGGCCTCATTGTGTGTGGTCCTGTAGCCATAGGTGAGCATCGTGACCCAGCCCCGGGCTCCAGCCTTCAGCATGTACCCCCAAAACACAGACACACCCAAGCCTGGGGCTGTCCTGCCGACTTTGCCCACTGGGCTTTGTTCCCAGGCCCCCAGCATCTCCCACCAACAGCCGCTGTGAATGGCTCCACCAGGAGAGAGGGGCCACTTCACAGGAGGCATCATGAAAATGCTCTCAAAATGACCATAAAGTTGTGGTCATCAGTTTTATACCAGAGAGGCTGTATGTAGCAGGTTAGGGCTCGCCGGGGGCGTGCTGTCTCCAGGTCACTGGCGGCGGTGGCTGGAATCCCTGCGCTGAGAAGCTTCCTGATACATGTAGTCTCGACGAGAAAAAGCGCAGTGGGGGACAAGATCTTTGCAAAGGACGCACAGGTATTCAGTGTCCCCAGCCTGCAAACTCCAAGGGCAGGGAACTTGGACAGTTACAGTTCTGGCTTTGCAGCGTCGCTCAGATTTCTCTGCCTGGTCTGCACGAGCGTGGAGGAGGGCAGGGAAGGCCGAGGTTTCCTGTGGCTGAAGGGGTCACTGAGACTCCCAGAGCCCCTGTCCTGCCCGGGGTCACCAGGCTGGTGGACAGCTGGGCTGGACAGTTTCGTACGTGCCCCCTTGCTCCGGAGAGAAATTAGTTGGCTCTGATTGGACATTTTAGAAGGAATTCCTGAGGTCTCCCTGGGGACGTGAGGGGGACCGCCCTCCAGGGAGCTGCCTTTGGCTTAGAACGTAAGGTGGGAGCTTGAGTGGAGCCTGTGAGGGGCCCTTGTCAGCCCTGGCTGCACCTTCGAACGACCAGAGCTTTATGGTTTCCCCTTCTCCACAGTGGGGGTGGGGTGGCCAGACCCCTGCCCTCAGAGAGGTGTACCCACAGCACAAACGGGCACGTTTGTTAAATCCCACGGAAGGATTTGGTGAGAAAAATGATTTTGAACGAGTGCAGGTGTTTGCAGTGGAGGGCACGTGCCGGGAATACAGCAGCTGCGTGCTTGCAAGGCCCTGTGGCCAGTCCTCAGCTGATTACACGTTCAGTCGGCTGCCATCTGGGGAGTGGGCCCTGGGGCAGGCAGGGGATCTGGGTGGCCAAGGGACAGGTCAGCGCGAACAGGGGCTTGAATCTGGGGAGATCGAGGGAAACACATCCTACCCGCGCCCGTTCGCAGATATTCATGCCATGGACTCGGCCCTGCCCGCCGGGGGCTGGGCGGGTGCCCTGGCATCCCAGGACAGAGAGGGTGGACCGTCCCGGCCCTTCCCCAGGCGGCTGCAGTACAGTGTGTTGGCTGCTCGGCCCGGGGACGCACTGAGGGCCAGCGGTCACGGCTGCCCCCCAGAGGCCCCTAAGCCTCCCCTTTCTTCCAGTAACTGCATTTGGAGAACATATATTCAGATGTCAAGCTGCCAGTGAAAAGAGAAAATATTTTATTTGAATTGGATGAAATTTCAACTAGAAGTCCTGTTACTTAATAAAAACGTGTGGTTTTGATTCAGTGTTCCTGTCATATGGTTCTCTTCTGCTGGAGAGTTTAAAATGTGGGCCAGGAGCCTCTGACATCCAGAGGGAGGAGAGGGGCTGAGAGAGAGGGGGGAAGGGAAGGCGGGAGGAGGGGAGAGGGAGAGAAGGGGGAAGATGCGAGCGCGGGCAGCTCTACCAGCCGAGGCAGCCGGAGAAGACAGGCACAGGGAGCCAAGCCTGGGGGCGAGGTGCTGGCGCGGGCGGAGGGGGGAGGTGCTCAGGTGTGCTGCGAAGCCCCCGTCCCTGCGTCCCTGCGTCCCTGTGGTGGGCCTGGGCGGGGAGGAGGCCAGTGGCAGGATGGCGGAGGGGCTGCGGTCCCACTGACGGCAGGAGGGCCCCTGTGGGGGCTGCCAGAGGCACAGCTGCGACTGGCCTTCGAAGGAGGCGCGCTTCCTGAGAGCCGTCTGCATGGAGATGGGTCTGCCTGAGGGGTTCGGAGCTCCTCACTCAGCCTTCAGGGATTTCAAACCTGAGCTTGGGGGGCCATGTATTTGGAACCATGCTTCAGAGATCAGCTGGGGTGGGCCTATTCTGGACTCTAGGACGGTCGCCCAGTTCTGCTACTGAGTCACCCCCACGTCACTTCCTCTCTGGGCCAGTTTTCCCACAGAGCCTTTGGGAAGCCAGGCGGGTGATAGATCCTGACCCTAGGGCTGTGCACGCCACCGGCACCTTGCTTCACAGAGCCCTGAAGGCCATCCGGGGACCCACACTTAGTGACTTCGGGTGGCACGTCAAGCGATGGCAGACCATATCTGCCGTGTCTCTCTCTGCCTTCCTGGTACAGCCCAGGGCCTGGCACAGAGAAGGGGTTCACACACCTTCGCCAAATGAAAGGCAGGGAGGGCCTGGCTTCCTTGCTCGGGGCTGTGGTTCTGACCTGTGCTGGATGGGCACCACACCTCTGGAGATTTTTTTTTTTTTAGCTGAGCCATCCTGCCACCTGTTGGCAGCTCAGTGGCAGCTCAGCTCGGGCCGGGACTCGAACCGCTGTTGCTCAGAGCTCGCACTCTTGAGCGAGCTCTTAACCAACTGAGCCACTCGGCCGGCCCAGCACCATGCCTCTGGGTCAAGGTCATGGCACGGTGTTCTCTTGCCCGTACTCCTGGCTCTGCCCTTCAGGAGTGGAACATGCCTTTGGCTGGACCGCAGCAGAGTAGGGCACAGGAGCAGGAGCGGCCCCAGGCCTCTGGCCAGAAAGGGGTGGCGGGGCTCATGGGGGCATCATGAAAGCCTGGTGAAGACACAGACTGGGTATGCATGTGATCTTGTCCATGGCGCACAAGGGAAGTCCAAGGTGTCAGGGAGAGTGGTTCTGTCTGGGCCGTGACTGCATCCCCTGTGTGTGATGTAGTGGCTGGCACTTAGTAGGTGCTCAGTAATTTCTATTGAATAGATGGATGCATGGTGGATGAATGGATGCATGGTGGATGGATGGATGGACGGACAGAGGGGTGGGTGGGTGGATAGATGATGGGTTGTTAGGTGGGTGGACGGTTGGGTAGGCCAGCCTGGCCTGAGTGGTTTTTGGAGGCAGCAGCTCTGGAGAGGAAAGCTGGCTGAGGACAAGCTCCCCGTCTCAGGCATCAGGCTGATCCTGTGTCCCCAAATGAGTCCTTGTGTAGCACCTGTTCCAGGGTTTTTGTCCTTTTCCAGGGTGACATCCAGCAGCTGTTGTTCGTGTCGGACCACCGGGCAGCTTACGATTACTGCGAGCACTATAGCCCCGACTGTGACACTGCCGTCCCCGACACCCCCCAGTCTCAGGACCCCAACCCAGATGAATATGTGAGTCAGTTCTAACTGGGTTCGTGGTGGGGGCTGTGGGTCAGGCAGGCAGGGTGGGGGTGGAGGGACACAGAAGCCGTGGGACCCCCGTTTTCAATAAACCCACCAGGAGAGAATGTGGATTGAGTCCCAAAGGATGTTTAAGAACCCTCTCCTTTAGGTTCAAGTGAGTTCCTAGGTGATGAGGGTGCGGTGTCGCTCTTACCCTCTGGCCTATGACCCGGATAGGGTGTCTGTGAGTGGAGAGGCCACAGGTGCCCTCGTGGGCTAAGTCTCCGGGGGTGCAGTCTGGAGCTGGCCAACGAGAAGGGAGCTGAGGGCTGTTTGTTGCAGAAGAATGGGTCCTGTGACCCCCAGAGTGACAGCGACTCAGACGAGCAGCCTCGTGCCGAGTGTTTCAGGAACGTGTCCTTGGCTTCGTCCCCCTCACCGTGACCTGCTGTGGTCTGTGGGTCAGCCTGTCTCCTTCACCTGCCCTCACACCCCAGCAGTGCCTGGGTTAATTGTTTTGCGATTCTCGCTCATACTTCCTGTGAGAACCCTCTGCCACCGCTGCTCAGATTTGACCCCCTTCTTCTAAGCTCTGTTCCTGGCTGCCCTTCTTTCATGACCAGTCAGAGAAGACGCAGTGCCCCCCAGGAACCTGTGGGTCCCCTGGCCCAGCGCGTCTTACCAGCCTGAGAGTGGCCTGGACGGTGCTCCCGGCTGAGTCCCTGCAGCTGAGGCCTCCCGGCCGGCCCCTCCTAGTTCCTGGGGTGGAGATGGTCCTGGGGACGAGGGCTGCCCTGGCTCTGTGAAGTCCCTCCCACTGAGCTTTGGGGGATCCTGACTGACAGTGGCATTGCCAGCAGAGCCCACAGTTTGGCTGGTTGTCCATCCTGTGGAGTCTAAAGGGAGAGAACGTCTGGACCTCTTAGGACTCAAGTTTCTTTGAAGGGGACCTGGGGTCCTCTGTTTGCTCTCTTGGACTTCTCATGGGGCTAGCTCAGCTTCCTGAGGACCTGGGGGGCGGGGGAAGAAGCCTTTTCGGGGCCCCGTGGGGGTTTGTGCCTGGAGCTGGGCATGGCGTTCTGGTGTCCATGCCTCCCGGCCGAGCCCGGAGCAGGACAAGCAAGCAGGCTGGTCTCCTGATGGGGCCACTCCTTCCTCACGAGCCCTGTTTACTTCCAGTACCCGGAAGGCGAGGGGGAAGGCGAGACCTATTACTACGAGTACCCCTACTACGAGGACACGGACGACCCAAGCAAGGAGCCCGCACCCACCAAGAAGCCTGTGGAAGCTGCTAGAGAGACCACGGAGGTGGCCGAGGTCTGGGCGGGGGGGCTGCTGGTCTCTGGAGGCCACGGGGCGGGGGGCGGGGGGCCAGGAAGAAGCTGTGGCAAGCATGAGTGTGGGGGCCACTGGGTGAGGCCCGAGATGGAGGTGGCGGGTGGACGCGTGGTGGGGAAAGGAGTGACCGGGGGACTGATGATTGTATGGGCTTCATTCGTACTTATGGGGAGTGTTGGGCAGAGGGCTGCCCATGGTGATGTGTGACATCGGGGGACATAGATGTGAAGGGGCACAGTCCCCTCCCCACAGAGTGGCCAGGAGACTGGCCCATGCTGCTGTAAAAGTCTAGAATATTCTCTCTTTTTTTTTTAAATTTTGAGATACAATCACCCTTTTCAAGTGTATAATTTAGGGGTTGTAGTCCATTCAGAGCCCCTCCTGGGCTGGGCTGCCCCCTTCCTGCTGGACTGCGGTGGCCCTGCATCTGAAGTCCACGGGGCTCTTGCTTGCCTGAGAGGCTCGTGCTTTGCCACAGAGGGAACCCAAGACCTGGCCCTGCCGCGTCGGCCGCCTCCCAGCCCTGCCCCTCTCTCTGCCTGGTCTCAGGAGCTGACGCCGCCGCCCACGGCAGCCCCTCCGGTGCCCAACACTGGCGAGGGGGCCGGGAAGGAGGAGGACCTTGGCATAGGGGACTATGACTACGTGCCCAGCGAGGACTACTACACGCCGCCCCCTTACGAGGACCTCAGCTATATCGAGGGCATCGAGGACCCCGACCAGCTCCCCGACCATGACGCAGGGCCCGGGGTGCCCACCAGCACGGCGGGGACCTCCAACGCCTCCAACGTAATTGCTTCCCTTCTGAGTGGCCTTGGTTGAGGCGAGGGGTGGGACCCCTGGGTGGCCCCTGCTCCCAGGAGAGGCCAAGCAAGGTTGGAACCACCGACCTGCTGAGTCCGTCTCAGTGTGTCCGTGTGTCATCTGCAAAGCGGGTGGAGTGAGTCCCGCCGTCCGGGACTCAGGGTTTGGGGGAGATGGATGACAAAGCAAGCTTGTGGACAGTGTCCCTGTCTGTGGCCTGGGAGGGGTCAGGCTGGACAGCTGACGAGCTGGGGACACGGACAAGCAAACGAGAGCGAGGCGGGTAGTTCTGGGCCCGTGCTGGGCTTTCCTGTCAGGCAGACCTGGCCTCGCCTCCCCACCAGTGACTTTGGAAAGTGACGTCCTTCTCCCCATTTCACTGTTTTCATTTACAACATGGCTCTAACGTGCCCGCCTCCTGGGGTTGTTGCCAAGTTTTCAGATTAAGGAGGAATTGAGCACAGTGCCCAGCCCAGCGCGGGAGCTTAAAAAACAGCCATTGTGTGATAATGAATTCTTGGTGGCCACGGAGTGGACACACGGTTCTGATGTGTCCAAATCCCTGTCACTGGGCATGGGATTAGGGGCATGTTACCCCAAGACCGTGAGGCCCTGGGGTGGAGCCCTGACGGCACCAGCGTCCCCAGGTGCACGGCCCATCCTGGTACATTGTGCCCATCCTGGCACAGCTCTAGCTAGCCACAGGGTCCTGGCGGGTTTGGGTGACAGTTTTCCTATGGTGAGAGGGAGAAGGTGTGTGAGAGGCCACCAGGGGCCCCAGGAGCTCTCCCAACAAGTCAGACTCCAGGCTCCCCGGAGACCCGAGGGTGTGGGGCCTGGGGCCGCGAAGGCAGGGGCATCTCTGTGCAGTCGCCTGGCGTCCTCCGGGTGACCCTGCCGCCCCGTCCCTCTCAGCCGGCTCCGCCTCCGGGGGAGGGGAAGGATGACCTGGAGGGGGAGTTCACCGAAGAGACCATCAAGAACCTGGATGAGAACTACTACGACCCTTACTACGACCCCACCGTCTCCCCATCGGAGATCGGGCCGGGCATGCCGGCCAACCAGGACACCATCTTCGAAGGGGTGAGGGGCTGGGAGGGGGCGGGGGCGGTGGGCTCCCTCCCCGGGGTCCAAGGGTGGGCCTGACGACACTGATGGCAGCCTTGCTCACCTCGCTTGCCTGGGCGGGGGCGGGGGGGGGGCAGCCACCCTGCTTTGTAAGCGTGATGACAGCTTTGCTGTCACCTCGGCCTTACCTGCCTTTCTCTCCTGCTCATTCTCTCTCCATGTTCGTTTTATAAATCCCAGATTGATGGACCACGGGGCGAGAAAGGTCAAAAAGGAGAACCCGCCATCATTGAACCAGTAAGGACAGCTTCTTATCCTCTTTCTGAAATGGGTGGGGGTGGGGTCACTGCTCAGGGCCCGTGGCCAGACCTGTGGGACCCCTGCACCCCTAGGCCACCATGAGGAGCCCCGTGACCTCCACGTGCTGCTTATTGCTGAGACTCAGGTGGGGGGACGTTCCGGACCTTGGCTGAGGTGGTGGCTACGTGGGTTTTGAATTCGTCAGAAGTCTGCCCTGTACACTTAAGGCCAGTGCATGTCACTGTGCGTCAATTGATAAAAAGAGACAGAAGGTCTGAGAGGGAGGCAGAGCCCCTCTGGAGGGTTGGAGAGGATTAGGGGCCTGGACTTTGCTCCGGGTGCTGTGGTTTACCACGGGTTCTGCCCCCCACGGCTGGTGGTGCAGCCGTGTGGTGTGGACTAAGCTGGAACTGGTGAAACGCGCTTATGAGACCACATCAGGGGAATTTAATCACACGGAGCTGCGCTGAGACCCCCGTTGAATAAAACTCAGCATTGCTGGGTAGCAGGATCATGGGTAAGTTAGGCAGAAATGACGATCGGTAATGTCTTCATGTGTGGAGCCGTAAGGGAGGGGGCAGGGAGGGGGTCCTAGATGGGGGTAGGCGGGGACCCCACTTAGTGCGGGACGTCGTCTGCCTTCAGGGAGCCATGCCTGGTTGGCAGCCCTGGGTGTACCCGGTAGCCTGAGAGCTGCCCCGGGTCTGGGCCCTAACCTCCCTTGCCCCCCACCATGCCAGGTGGGCAGGACGCCTGTGCTGCACGTGGTGGACATGGTGCTATGGACCAGGAAGAGAGGTCCACCCCGCCACACCGTCCAAGTGCTGGAGGGAGGGGGCTGGTGTCCTGAAGCGTGGCCAGTCACGAGGCCGGGCTGGGCTGGGCCTTTTGCTGCCAGGACCGGGTTCCTGATGGCGGAGCTCAGGACGTGACACTGGGGCTTCGGTGCCCTTCTGACCGTGGGCTTTGGGATGGAGAATACTGGTGGCCTCCATCCTCCTGGGGCTCTGGGAAGGTTCTCTCAGGACCTTGACCGATGCATGTGGCAAGCTCTTATCTCCCCAGAGAGACCTGAAGCCCCGTGGCTGGGGCATAGAGACATGTCCCACCTCAGGGTGGAACTCCCAGCGGGCAGACTCTGCAGCTCTCTCTTTGGCCCCGTTTCCGGCCCCCGGAGCATCTGAGGATGCAAAGGTGGTCTTGTGCGGCCCAGGGATGGGACCCGCCGCTGCCACTGGGCTGTGGGCACTGGACACACATCCTTTTCTCAGACTGGGACATCTCCTTTCTGGTGCTGTCTGCAGGTCAGGAAGACAGGGCTTACCTGGATTGGGCAGGAGTGGGGGTGCAGAGGTGACTAGGGGGACCCAAGGCCTGGTGGCCCCTTGCTCAGCCACATGAGAAGTCCTGACACCATGCAGACGACCCAGGGGTAGGAACTGTGCAGCCCAGCCTGGGGGGCCATCCTGGAAGAACGGGGTGTAGGAGCCACCCCAGTGTCACTTCTCCGTGGTCCGGGCTGTGCTTATTTCACTGGGGTGTAGAGACTGATAGTGACATTTCCCCAGATGGTTTGGTACCCAGGTGGACTTGCTGTTGATTTGGGGTGCCTTTTGTGGTATTCCCACTGCTTTAGTGAAAAGGGTGTCTTACCTGGGAAGAAAGTGGGAGCCCAGGGCAGGTAGGTACCTAGGCTGTAAAGTCCGGGCACTTCTGCCTGGATAAGCTTCCTATTTGCTTACGTCCCCAGACCGGGGGACACTGCAAGGAGAACCGTGCCTCCCAGCTCTGGAGTGGGGTCAGGGTACTTGGCTCCAGGCTCCACTGGTGGGGGCGGGCCAGAGGAGAGGGCTGAGAAGACAGGGGCAGTCCAGCACAAAACGTGTGTCTACAGAAAACCCATTTCATCCTCGCTGGGGGAAAACCAGCCATCTGGATGCTGTTAGGGAAGGGTCCCCCCGCCGCGGGCCCTGGCATCACTCCCACCCAGCCCCCAGCCCGTTCGCAGTGTCCACAGGGCCCTTGGCCGGTGTCCCTGGAGGAATCATGTAAACAGTTGGAGTTTCTCAACCTGGAGTGTCGCCAGATGTCCTCAAAGTCTCAGCTCTCATAAACAGATGGCCGAGGCCTGGGAGACACTGACGTGGTCTCACCTCTGACTGCGCGGGCGTCCGTCCCCACGGAGGATGGGGTGCCTGTTTCCTCTCCCCCCACCTGCCCCAGAGACGTCCCTCTGGGAGATGTGACTCACTGTCGATGGCGCTCTTGGAACCAGTTCCTTCTCTGTGTCCATCCCAGGGACGCGGCCGGCTCTGTCCCACTCACATCCGGCACCTTCTGTAGTTTGTCAGCAACATCAGAGGCTCCACTCGGCCGAGAGCGTCCAGGGTGATGAGCATTGTGGGCGCTCCCGGCCGTCCTAGGGCCTCAGGGGCCAGGGAGCCCTGGACTCAGTGGTCTGTATCCCATGGCAAATAGATGTCCGTCAGAGGCGCACAAATCTCCATCTCTGTGGTTAAAAAGCTTTTTTTTTTTTTTTTTTGGTCCGTGCTGTTTAGCATGTGGATGGACCTCCGTTAGGAGTTTTGAGTTTGGCAGTGACAGACCTTCCCTGGCAGTTATTCTCCCCAGCTGAACTTTGAGACCCTGGTGAGGTGTGGACGGGGTCAGCAGCCCCAGCGAGGCCACCCTCTCTGTTGTCGTCGATGCCGTCTTTGGTGGTGGCCACAGGGGCGCCTCCCGGCGATGGCTCTGCCTGCGAGAGTTCAGGCGTTGCTCTGCTGGGCTCATCTGTCCAGCTGTTTCCAGCTTGCCTCCCGAGCCTCCGCACAGTGATCCGGGTGGGCCCTCCCGTGAGAGCCTCGCCTGGCAGCGCCCCAGCACCCAGAACAGCAGTTGGCGTGTCTGGGCGGACAGCTGCAGCCCGGGCCCAGCACAGCCCGTGTTTCTCTCCTGAGCCCAGCTCAGTTCCCGAGCCTTCCCAGCTGCCCTTTCAGAGAAGGAAACAGGAAAGCTGGATTTACGAAGCTGTTGGACGGGCTCTCTGTGTGCATCTCCCGTACAAATATTTCTCCGAGTGCACATCTGTGTAAACACAGCATCCATCCTCACAGTCGCCAGGGAGCTGCAGTGGGAGGGGCAGGGGTTGGAGGGGCTCTGCAGCCCCCTGACCAGAAGCCCCTGCCCGCTGGTGCCTGGCACCTGGGCTGATGCATGAGCCTTTGCTGGCCACGTCCTCCATCTCCTAGGGAGCAATTCCAGGTTTCACAGAGGCTCGATCACTTTTGAAGACAACGCCAGGCCTCGGTGACATTGATCATCCCTAGAGAGAAGCATTCGTGCCCCTTTTGTCGGGGGCATGGAGGCAGCAGGTCTGCCCCAGGGCCAGCACGTCCAGCCCTCTCACCCTGTCCCAGAGGTCACAAGAGCTGGCAGGGAGAATTAGGACATCACTGTATCCTTGTGTCCACTGGCCCTGTGTGCGGCTGAGGCCTGCCCAGCAGGGCGGACAGACCCACCTGGTCCCAGGACCCCCCAGGTACCCCCCACCCCCGCTGCATCCTCAGTGTGCAGACCCCTGCAGGGTGCAGACCTGTTTCCTCTCTGCAAAGTTGTGCATTGGCTCAGAGCCCCCCTGAAGTGGGCATGAAACAGAGGGCGGCGGGGGGGGGGGCTGACCCTGGCATTGACCGGACGGGGGTAGAGAGAAGAGATCTGCCCCGGGAAAGGGGCTGGAAGTGGAGGCCCGAGAGTGGGGAGCCCTCCCCTGGGCCAGGGAGCTCCGTCTAGCAGAGGGCTAAAGCCCATTGTCCCTTCTGCCCACACCCCATCCCTGGAGCCCAGGTGACAGAGAGGACAGCAGGCCTTGTCCCCACTGCGGGTAAAGACAGGCCGGGTGGGGTGAGCAGCTGGAAGAGAGCGGCTGACGGCCCATGGACTCGGCGGTTTTGCTCGCTCGCTCTGGGCTGCTGTTGGGGGGGGCGCATTTCCCACCTGGAGGGAGGAGGGGGCTCCCACAAGTCCTGTCTGAGCCACGTTGGGCCTGACGGTTGCCTGCGCTGGGGGCTGGAGTCCACCCCTCCCTCAGGAAGCCATTGCCCAGGGCCTCTCTGGGTGTCCCCCCTCGGGGGCAGGGGAGACCGAGGGTGCGGCAGTGCGGTCTGGGTGCCCCCTCTCCTCTCGGCTTCTCTTGAGGGAAGCATGTGGGTCAGTGTACCGGGCCCGTGGGGGCTCCTGGAAATGCTCAGAGGACAGTCACCGTGGCCCCATCATAGCACCCTGTTACAGAGACTGCTGCTCAAGACCCCTGCCAGGGGGGCGGGCGCTGACTGGAGGCCGTACCCAGTCTGTGGTCCTCTCTTCTGGGGTCTGTCCTCACCAGTAGGATCTGGGGGGGCCGGGGCCCACCCTGGGGTCTCGGGATGGTTGGGGTTCCGGAGCCTCAGACACTGTCCCCGTTTCTTCCAGGGCATGCTGTTGGAGGGGCCACCCGGCCCTGAAGGCCCCGCAGTGAGTGTCACTTTTTATTTTCCCATGACGTGTGGGAGGTGCTCAGAGGGATCAGTGACATCCGCTAAAGCTCCTGGATGGGAGAGGGGGAGCGCTCACCACCTTCTGCAGACACCCCGGGGCCCGGCACCTCGCCGGCCCCGTCTGCACCGTTGCCTAGCCAGGCGGGAGCTGGGTGTTGCCTGTGGCTGCGTCTTTGAACTCTGCCCTGATTTTATTTTCAATCCTAGGGTCTTCCAGGACCTCCAGGAACGATGGGTCCCACTGGCCAAGTGGGTGACCCCGGAGAAAGGGTAAGGGGTGACTCCGCTCCCGGGGGTCCCACGCTCTGTGGTCTCGTCCCTGTGTGCCCTGCTCTGCCTCACACGTGCAGACGGCAGCCACACGCCAACCTCCCTCTCCTCGTTGCCCCGTTACATCTCGTGCCACCCCCTTAAAGCATCCAGCCGCTTCAGATATTTAGGGAGGCCGACTAGCGCCCTGCCCTGAGTCAGGTGACACCTGCAAGAGTAAGACCCAGCGGGGCTGGCCTGTAATCCCAGGGAGGCTGCTAGTGGTCAGCTCACAGCGGGGCCTGCAGCCCTGCATTGGTATGACAGTGACAACAGCAGCTGCCGTGGCCAGAGCTCCAGGTCCGGGCTTCTCACGGAACTTGCATCGATTCTTCCTCAGTCCAAGGACTTGGTTGGCCTTGATACCCCTCACTCCACCTTCCTTGCTGGAAATCAAGCAACAGACACGGGGGGAGCTTGCTCGGGGCAAGGGGTTGTGTCCCAGGTGACCCTGGTCCGGGGGACCTTTGCTGCAGAAGAGATGAAGGCTGAGCCTAAGACACGGCAATTTCGTTCTGACACCTAGTGGGGCTTTGGGGTACTGCAGCCTCGTGGGTGCTTGTCTGGCTTGGGTCTTCTGTTTTCTCTTTCTTTTGTTTCTTCCTGATGGTCTAATGAATATCAACGTGAGCACAGTCAGATGAAGAGCCAGTAACTGGCTAAGCTGTAGACGAGAGAGCTTGGGAGCGTGTGCGTCCTAATGGACATTTATCCCCAGGGCCTGCCATGCTGCCCAGAGCCGAAGACGGACCTTAGCGTCTTGGGTGGATGATGGCTGGGTCTGGTCATGTGGAATGGTGGCTGGGGTCTCCCTGTCCTGCGTGCTGGGTGACCTCTGAGAGCCCAGCTCAGATGGAGCCTCAAACAGGATTCTCTGCCACTTTATTTATGGTCGATGGCTTTGGGGCCCCAGAGTAAGTGGGTCTTGCTCCGTGGCAGGGGACTCGGCTGGCCTGTGGGACACTTGTGCTTCCAACAGGTCCCTGGCTGTGCTCCCCGCTCGGCCACAGTCAAAATTCCAGACAAACAAGTGAGAGCCACTGCCCTCCCCCACCCCAGGACCAGCACGACTCGAGTTGTGCAGCTCACTCCAGAGGTCTGCGCGAGATGGGGTGACGGCCAAGTCCCCCACAGAGCCATCGCCACCGGGTGTGGCCGAGGCTACACGTCCACAAGAGGGGACCACGTGGCCTAGTAGACGTTTCCTCGTAGACATAGGATAGGACCCTACGCTCCACATGGCATGCACGGATACTGACCGACCAATCCCCTGAGTTGCTCCAAGTGTCCGTCCATCCATCCGTCTGTCCACCCAGCACGTAGTGCCAGGCACTGGCCTAGCACTGAGGATCTCAGTGCTCACGAACCAGCACTCTCTGTGCTTCTGAGTGCTCAGGGCATCTGGGCAGAGGGGA